TCATATTATTTTTGTTTAACCTGTTTCCATTAGTCTCTACTCTCTGTGGGAAGACCAGTGTGTGTTTCCCTGAGGCCAATGTACTCTTTATGGATGAAGAAGTTCCATTGAATCTTTAATTTACTGGGGATAAATTGGTTACACGGCTCACCCCCATGTTTTAGGGTGGTGGGCTGGTGCATCCTGCTGGAGTTATATCTCTGAGAGCCAGAATGTGAACATGGTATTCATGTGAGTAATCTTGATGTGTTTCAGAGGATATGGTGGGTGTGGTGCAATTTGAGGGGGATTCAACTTGTTGTCCATGATAAAGACATTCATGTATTGGATGATATCATGTTATGCTTTTATGGTGTGATTTAAAATGTTACAGAAGATGGAGTAAGGAGGGTAAAAGTCAACATTTACTGCAGCAGGACTGATGTGGGAACTTGTTGGTGTTTTCACACACAAATCAGTTCCTCAGTTTCTCTGTTTTTCATCTCATGATCTTGCTTAACTTTTACTTCCCTGATGACTGGTGAAAATGAATCTATTTAACTAAAGCACAGGTGTTTTTGAGAAGAAAAACAAAGGTTTTACTAATTGTGTCCTCTCATTATAAGTAGAATGTAAGTGAGTCTCAGTAAACGGTGTACTCAGCAGCCTGAATCGCCCATTTTTACCGCTTCATTGACTTTTACAGCTGTGTCAATAGTAATGACGCTCCTCTAGAGGCAGCTCACTCCTGCTGTGGATGTATTTATATCTAAATTTTACACATTTAGTGCAGTGACATCTCATGTTTCTCAATACAAACTAATGTTTAGGGGAGTGGACTGCCACAGTGTCTATAAAAACAAAGTATTCGTTACCTCTAGTCTGAATTAATCAAGTCACCATAACATTTTACAGCTCTTTATGCTCTATTAGGTTAAATGATGTCTATGGTAGTGAGTAATCTGTAATTACCCGTCAGTTCCCTGGGGGCTGCTGAATGATGTTATAAAACTCTGTTAGGTTTCGATGCCTCAGTGGTATCAGGCTCCAACAATGATTTGACTGTTTAAGCAAATTTTCAGAAGGGACCACGAGCAACCACAAGGATCACTCTAAAGCAGGAAACATTAAATTCACTTTTATAAAAATGAACCATCTAGAAAAACCCCTCTCTTTCTTATGTCCTCCTCTTCATAGACTCGGCAGAAGTGGTAGTCGACAGACTTTATGCGACAAAGGCCACGGCTCAGAGTCTTGGTGGATGCATGGTGGTCACATGGAGCAGCAGGAATCTCCATGAATGGCAAAATGTGTAGCTTTCTCTAACGTTTATTCCACCTAGGCCATGAGTATAGGACCAGCATTAAAAAAACGGTGTATACATCCAGTCTACGCCGTCCATGCAGATACCAAATGGGTAGCCACTCTGAGCCAGTGCGAGTGTTTGTATTTGTTATTTCCAATTAAGAAACTGTTTGAGATTTCTATTTTCCTCAACATATATTATGTCCAGTTACAATCAGGCAAGTATTAATTTCCCTGATCTTAAGCCCCTCCATTTAAAATTGTCATCATTATTGGCGCCGTCTTCAGTGTCACCACCGCTCTCATCATCACTCTGAACAGAGCTGCAAACTGTCCGATGTACAGAGTGTGATATAAAAACAGAAGCAGCAACAGAAAACTCACGTTAACATTAGCCAGGGCAGATATCTACAGGCATTCACACACATTTTCCCACACTCTTGAGGAATTGATCAGTATTGATCACATGTAAATGACATCGATTGTCTCACCCTTTTGTCTGTCTGTATCGATGTGTGCGTGTGCACGCTTGTGTGAATACACATGTTTGACTGTGTGCGTGTGTGCAGCTGTCGGAGTTGTGTAGATCCGACCATCCAGCTGCTTCCAGGCACCCATGCTCAGTGGGCCTTCTACTCCCCGCCAGACCCCGACCCACCCGGTCTCGCCTCGTCTCGCCTCGTCTCGCCTCGTCTCGCCTCGCCTCGCCTCTGCCTCTGCTTCACAGAGCCAGCACCACCTGCAAGATGTGAGACTTGCTTGACTGCACTGATGACATCCTGTAAGTGGAATATTATTTCATTAACAATACTTGTATTTGATAAAGCAGGAGATCAATTCCCTTACACATTAATAGTCAATTATGACATTATACTGCGAAGGAACAGCTACGACTGGAGCAATTATTTGTTATGAATTGGGAAATGAATTTGCGTGACATTATACCAGCTACTGATAGCTTGTATTATATAATTAATACCACTGGTTGTTGATACCAAAGCAATGAGGGCAGTCTTATCTGAAAACGGATCCATTTTTTTCTCCAGCTGCAACGCTTCACAAGACCTGGGACTTTTTCATCCTGCACATCAGTGGCTTTTTGATATCAGCGTTTCAAGTTTGATTTTAGATTATGAACAAAAAGACATCATGTTGACACGCAGACAGAAACTAAACATGATGATAGCAAACATCCATCTCAGTCTTGCACCACGCCAAGTTTCTTGCATTCATTCTTCCATTTCTCCTCTCTGCGTCTGACTAACTAACTCCATAGCATTCGACATCCAATCGATAGGAAACTGCCAACCATGTGACCATGGCGGTGCCTTTTTATCACAATTTTTGGATGTGAAATGCTGGGATGGTGCAAAGTTTAAAAACAAAAAAGAAAAGTGAACTGTCCCATCAACATAGTGTATGTCAAAGTGTTAGCATGAGGCTCTGCCGTGGGTGATGTACTGGAGATGGACTAACGTGTAAACTGACAATCTGACAGATGTGCAAAGAAACTGATGTTCTCGTCCACAAAAACTTGAGCAGGTCACCTGCTGGACACAAAGCTGGATGCAGGCTAAGGATGTTTGCAATAAGCAGGTTTTCCTCAAGCAAACGGCTGGGTCATTGATTATTTCATTTTTGATTTATTACATAACATAGAGTGGACACAGAGTGGCAAATGCAGGACGGATATGAACGCATCAGTGTTGGAGCCTATGTATTCTTGTTCTTTAGTTCCACGGCGCTCCCTAACACAGCCGCAGTCAGAACAAAGAGTCAGAGCCAGAATCACTCGAGCCAGTGAAATAAATGTCTAGGTTTAAGTCTAGTAGTAAACGAAATTGAAACGGCCGGAAATCTGACTCTTGCCTTTCAGGACAGGAGGAAGTAAGGGGATGTGATTATAAAGCTGCAAAGTCCACAGAGGGAGGAGGTCGGTTGGATGGTTGGATGGGTCAACAAACTATCGGACTTTAACACAGGAGATCACTGTTAGTTTCCTGTTTCCTACTGACGGTTGGCGTTGGGCATTCCCTGACCTTAATTGTGTAGTTTTTTATTGTAACTGGGATGGCAGAGACCCCCTAACCTTAATCAAGTACTGATCCAAAACAAGAGCTTCCCGCAAACCAATTTTATTTTGTGCTTAAATCTAACTAATCCTTAACCGTAGCAGTGTAAAATCAGAAAACAGTTGTAATTTTTTTAATGTGTCTGGTCGATATAGTGGCATCAAATCAGAAAGTCGTTCTGGAGGGCATGGAGCAGCAACATGCTCTGTTGTTTAATTTAGAGGACTTCCTGACTTAGGAATATGTAAAGGGTAACGCAGGACGATGTGCCTTGATATGTGAACATAAGAGATGAGGTGGAGGATAAGAGGCCACAACATGTGTAAATAACAGATGCAGCCTTACCTGTTATCAGAAAAACAGATATATGGATAATAGCACATCACACACACACATACAGGGGCTACACACTGAACCTCACATACAGTGTGAAAGTAAACAGTGCGAGGAAGTATAGCCAGCAGAGGTCACTGTATTCTACCAGAAAACAGTCACATTGTTCTCTGAATTTCCTCAGATTTTCAGAGACACATGAGTCTCTCTTTAGAAACATAAATATGGCATCAGCAGAGCTCTTAGGGTGATTCATAACTGCAGTAGTAGCTCCTACTGCGTTCTGCTGTCATGCCAACAGTCATACTGGGTTCTTCTTTCATGCCAACAGTCATATAGTCACAATGTAGGCGCCAGTTTCATCCAAATTATAAATGTCTCAATATCAAACACACGCTCAGCTTTGTCAGGCGGTGCATGAGTAGAACGGCGGGTTCAAAGAGAATCTGTGGATCGGCCAAATCTGATATCGTATTTAATCTCACGGTGGAGTCTGTGTTTAGTGGAGCTTTGTGTCATTTTGAAAACTAATTAGACATAATGGTTTGGATGGTGGATTTGACAAGTTGAAGCATCATAGCGTTGCTCTAGCACAAGACATTACTGCACTTTAACCTTTTTGTCCCAAAAGAAAATGACACCTGAAACGTGTGAGCAGACACACACCTGCAGCTGTGGATAGCTGCAAAAAGAACATAAAATGCTCTCCAAAGATTTCATGAGTGTTTTTGTGACCAATTTTGTCATGTTTCACATAATGACTAAACTGAAGAGCAGGATATTACTTTTCTACCAGGGAAGTCATGACTCCAGGTGGACATCATTAAAGCCTCTGAGCATTACAGACTAATTACAGGATTTATCAGTAGGCTACTTTATCACACTCGAAAATCAAGTTGATTGATGTTTTTGAGACATTTTTGAGTAGAGCACACTTAATCTTGTCACTCTTCTATTGTGCATGCAGCACGTGCCCAAGATCTGCTTAGAATTAGTTTGTAGCGTGCAGCTGAAACACAGCTAGAGACAAAGTGTTAGACATAGAGTCAAGACACAGTGAAAGACAATGAGTCTAACAGAAGTTGCATTTTTTTGTTGTTGTTGTTTCTACCTTTGTTTCGATCACTTTTATTTCTGTGTCAGACACTGGAGCCAGTGAGGTCTCATGTGACAGCAGGGGGAGAGCAAGAGCCAAACCACACCCAGCAGTAGGTGGATCGTAGTTTGGAGGAGGAGCAGTCATATCAGCAAAGCACAGTCAGTAGCTTTTTGTAGAGTACCACATTCACACAAGGAGAGGGGAAGGAAACATCAGTGCAGACAAAAGAGAGCTGGAGGTGTTTACCTCCTCCTGTGCAGTGGGTTCCACACGGATTATTCAGCCATTCTTCCCTCAGCAAACTTCAGCAAAAGCTCTGGGATTTATGTCACTTTCGACTTTTATTTTTTTGTTTTACTCTTGGAAGTTCATGTTTTGCTCACTTTGGACCAGTGGATCCTATTTGGACTCGCATTGAAATTATTTTAGCCATTTATTTTACAGCCAGCTTTACATCGTGGTGTTCTCGGGGGCCAGTGGTTATGTCCCGCAACTGACATGCAACCTCCGTCCAGGTGAGTTTTGTTTGTTTGTTTTTTGTGTTTTGTTTTTTGCTTTTACAAGAGCTTACCGGCATGTCAGCTGTCACACTGCAAGCAGCCGGACTCATTCTTCCTTCATGTTTAATTGCTTGTTGTTTTTAAAATACAAGAAATTAGTAATGAATTTGCTCTTGCACTGTAATGCTTTTTCTTACCGTGAAATGTCACTGTGCTCTTACTGAAGGATGTCTGTCATGCGTAAAAGGTGGCTCAAACTGAATTTAATTGACTGTACGGCGTTTTCCTTTTCTCCCACACACCTCTAATACTCGAGTCAGAGTTTAATGCAACCGTTTCCTACTGTGTGCAGCTTTCTTCTATTATATCAGGAGAGATTTTGGCGCATGTTAGAGCGTTTTTACAGTGTTCCTCTGACTGTGCCGGTATGTTTGGCAGTGCATGGCCCCAGCTTCAGTTCCTTTTATGAACCCCATAACCCATTAGTCGAGCGTATTTTACCCGGGATAAAAGCTGCGTTGGGTCTAGATGACACATGCCGGTGTAGGTCGCTTTGTCACCAGGGGTGCAGAGAATAAATTGCATTTTATTTGCTTTATTTGCATAGTGTGCAGGGTTGGTTTTTTTTTTATCAGGCATTATGCGTCATACATCTTTCTCAGCAACGGCATGACTTACACGATGATGTGATGTTTTCCTTCTCAGCAGTTCAGCCGATTTCTCTCCCTATATCAGAAAGTGTTTGCCTTGTTATGATAGAGTTCACTGAGTTCAGCCGCCCCATGAGTAACCTCTACATCTCAGGATACGGGTTAGATTTTTCAGTCCCATTCAGGCAAGTACACAGGTCGCTTTCCTGGTTTTAACACTTGTGTTGACGGGCAATTACCGGAATGTAATGTATAGCCCAAATTCGGCACTTCTCTGTGACGAGTTGAGTGTGCGCTCCGTCCTGCTGGAGGCGCACATGCACCGCTGGGCTTCTGAAGATGAACGATACAAATGTAGGGAGCATCATGCTGTAGGCACCACATCCACGTGACAGCGGCAGAATTATTTTAATATCTTTGTCTGAATAGTAACGTGAAACCTTATCGTTTGATCTGAAATGCCAAAATGTCAGTCTGGTTTTTTTTTTTTTTTTATTATTCTGGTGAGACTTGACTTTTCTGTCATCGCCCACGGAGACAGAAACTACAACCTACCTCTCAATCTTTATACAGTGACTGTGCAGACGTGCTGCTGGACGAATCTCGTTAAACGTTTAGCGCCGTGACACCTGACCGAATGCTTTGTTTGGTATTTTTTGGCGGATTTCCTTTCCTCCATCTGCTTTTCCCTCTCTCTCTGCGAGGCGGCAGCCGGCACGTTTTGGTGCCATTTCTCTCCGTGCCGCCTGAGACGCTCAATATCGCTCCTCTCAGCGCTCGGATCTGCACCGAAACACACAGGGAAAGTTTACATTTTCGTAAGGCTGGAGGACAGTCTTCAGGTCCATTTAAAGCGCGGCTGTTGACGCAGTCTCTGTGCGTAAAAATGCGTAAAAAGCAAAAGGATTACCAGTTACATCAAAGGTGCGTAAAAGTGTTTGTCGGTACATTGAGACTTGGTGCTTGAAACTAGTTGGTTATAATTTTCGGTCACTTTGGCATAGAAGTAGGTCACTGCCGCTGGGAATCCGTGCGCTGAGGAAGCTTTAGTCTGGACAAACAGGAAGCGCAGTAATAAGCATCATTTTTATAGTCCCATTATTTGATTGTCACGTTGAGTTTCAGACTCATACTTTAAATGACATTAGTGTAAGATTTTTTATTCCCATTGCAAATTGGTGTTTTTAAATAAACTTTCTTACAAAAGAAATATCTGCAAAATCTTTACCTCGATTCAATAAATTGAAATGAAAGATTGCTTCAGCTGATTTAGTTGAAAATGAAATTGCCAGACTGACTGGTCTGTATACGCGGATTTCTTTCATGCTCTTAGTATGTGACGCAGTTGAAGTTACTCCGGCCGCTTCCTTCATGCCTGATTATTTTTTTTTCTCACAAGTCAAACAAAGATCTGCTGCAATCAGCAACTTATGCCAAACAATGGAGACGCACTGGGAGGCTAGTTTGGACAGGAAGCCTGGGATACCGCCAGAGCAGGAACACATTCACTGCACACAAACTAGTCAAACGGTCACTACACAACTCCGAGCGCCTCTATGGGTGTCACCTGTATTGGGAAGTGAGCTAGAATATGGCCAAGTGTCTTAAAAGACAAACCTATCGGTCAGTTTGTTGGCAAGTCCGCTTTTATTTTACAAAAAAGTCAGTGCGCTGGTCATCGCGATTTCCCTGTGAAATTAATCAGATTGAAGTGACAGAAATCCCGCAGTTCTAGAGGACAAACAAGAATCTACGAGGTCCAGTCCTGAAGCAGCACTGTGCTGTCACATAGCCAGCTGCAGCTCCCGATGCAGCAGAGACGTGAGGCTGTAGGCTGTTTGGGCAGAGTGATGAAAGCCCAGGCTGACGGTGCCGCTCTATTCATCCAACAGACCACAAAACCGGTCCGATGGCTCGACCGCAGTAACGGCAAGAGGGGAGAGCGAAGGGGATCCACCACTCGTCGGTGCCGCTGGAGCCCCAGCGCAAAACCCCAGTTCGAAAGACAGCGGCGAGCGGAGCCTTGGCCACCTCGGCTCCACCGGAGAAGGAGAGCCAGACTCGCCGCCCCGGTGCAGAACCATAGCCACCTCTCCTGTCAACAGCCTAGACGTGTTTCAAAAGAGGTCTATATTCAGCTTCTCTCGTCGCTCGTCCAGTGGATATTTCTCCTTCGACAGCGACTCGCTACCGAGCTCCCCGCTCTCCCCGAGGCCAGCCACGGTTGAACGAACCACGCAGACCCCGAGCCCCACCAGCCAGGTGATGAAACACGCCTTGCAGCGCATGGCGGAGGCGCACGGCGGAGGAGCGAGGATGCAGCAGCAGCACGGTGAGCACAGGCACTTTGCATGTGTAAGCGATGACTAACAGCCAATGCTCTAAATACACGCAGGTAGAAGAGGTTGAAATTTGCCATCACAAATTCCTCTGACAAGTTTTGAATTATAAATAAAGCTTCAATTGTACTAAAACATTATACTTATTTCCGTCATTGCAGTGTCCACATTTTTTTCTTGTGTTCAAAAAACAATTATGCCTAAAAAAAAAAAAACAACAACAACAACAACTCAGTAACAATGCTTTTAATCATGTCTGAAATCATTTTCCCTTTTAATATTTTTTATCAGCCAGAGTCAGTTTTAAGAGGGTGGTAACCTGCAGTTTGAAGTGTAAGTGTCAAAATGCATGAATGCTCTTCCTCATACTACATTAAAAAACACCTGCTGTGTGTGAAAGTGACTGGCCTGAAGCAGCCAGCACAAGCTGCTCTGACTGTTTCCACTATGAAATTTAGCTGCTGTTGCTGCTGCTGTGTGGGTGTGCAGCAAAATATGAAACCAGATAGGAGCCTAACACAAGCTCCCTGAAGCTTCCTCTATCAAAGATTTGGGGGTTTGGGCGGGTGGTGGTGGTGAATGTTAACAATGATTCAAAAGACGAACAAAAACATCCTGAGTATGTTTTCGTTCTCCCAGTAGATCTTACTCATGATGGAAGACTTTTTTCCACGACTCTTAATATTTTGCTACTCTCTCAGATGAGTTAGTCACGCTCATGTTTGTTCTCACAGTCTGATTTATTGACAACACCCAGCACACCTCACTTCCTTGGCTCTCAGAGGGAAATCTGACAATTTCAGGCTAAAACCTGCGCTTCTAAAACACACTAAGATGACTTCTCAGTGCTGCCAAACCCATTTCTGCTGATCCCCATGTTTTCATTCCATTGTAGTATTACTCTATTTCCTGTTGAGTAATGTCTACTGCCTTTTGAGTGTGTAAAAACCTCCCAATGGGAGGATCCCACAGGATACATTTTAAGTCCAAACATACAAGCCTACTCTCAGAAGAGATTCATAAACTATTTATTCAAAGAGTGACGTCCAACACATATTGGATAAAAATTGTGGACAGTGTGGATTCCACTTGGCAAGTGAAATCTTGACCAAAAACCATATCTTAACCTGAAATAAACCTGGAACCTTATCAGCACAGAGAGCAGTAGTTTGCGTTAGCACTACGTGTTAGTGGTTGTGCTAATGCAAACTGTGTCAGCCACTTCCAGTAACAAGCTAACAACTAACAAATAAAGATACTAACTCGTAACCGCTCTGATATGTCTGCTAGCCGGTGATTTTGATCTGAGTGAGTCTCTCGGATGTTTTCTCTAACTCTAACTTCACCTGTCAACCTCGCGCAAGCAGGCGGTTAAAGAAATTATTATCTTCACTCTTTTGTGTGCACACCTTTGGTCTTTTGGAGAGAAATAACACAACATCACACTTTATGATGTGACTTTATGAAGTATCTCAGCAGGAGCAGGCTTTGTTAGACCTGCTGATGCTGGATTCACGGTTTTCATGGAATCCTGCTGAGTCAGATTCACAGGAAGGAAGCAGGGACTCGACTTTAAATCAAATTAAAGGGGCCACGCCCAAGGGTTTAGTGTATGTGTGTTTGCGTTTTCATAATGGTTGTCACACATATCCTGTTGTGAATGTTATGATCAGCTGATTTAAAATGCTATATGAGTCACCAGTCAATCGATAATTCAATATCAGCCTGTCCTCATAAACTATGTAATATTAAGTGAAATGTTTTATGAAACTAAATTAGAAAACGAGATGAAGAGTGGGCTGCAGATGTCTGGTAACATCACGTCCTTCTTACTCCTCACCCTCAGATTTTATTCACTTTCAAACTTCTAGTCTTCCGCCTGAACTGTATAGTGACTAATTTGAAGCACTTTATCAGATTTGGTGCCACAAAACGCTTTTTACAACTGTTTTCAACATATGCTGTAGTGGCATACTCTCCGAGATCTGATGTATGAAATCAGTGCGCTTCCATTGTTTTATGACTACATCATAATCTTTGAATGTGACAGATCCATTCCCCGTAATACAGCTGTACACATGCAGTTTATTTGTTAAATTTGATGTCTAGAATAAAATATAAAATCATGTTTTGAGCTTATACTGATGAAGCCACCAAAGTGTTTGTTAGACATTCATAATTTCTCACAGTCTTCATCCTGTTTTATCTCTGCTGTTTATTTAGAATCATAAATAGAAAGAAGAGACACGCAAGTCTGTCACCTCCAGCAACAGCGATTTAAAATAGTGCTCCAAAAACAAAACAAAAAGCCTCCTGCTTTTAGCTATGACGCTGTCGGCTAAAGTTGCCTCTCGTGTTGCTTGGTAACAAACAAAACTGCGCTGTGAGGCTGAGATTTGACAAAAAAAAACAAAGCAACTAACAGAGTGAATCCCCTCATAGTGTTGGCGCGATGGAAGACAAATAAATCCACTATGTAATAACTTTGTTCTCTCATCCTTTTCCTCAGATTCTCCATTATTATTTTCAGATATTTTCAGAAACCCACAATACAGCATCAAGCTCAGCGTTAACCTCTTTCATATGTAGGTGCATTTGTATTTTTATTTGTTTTAATATTTTTATTTACAAGGGTAGTGACTGTTTGTGAGTAAAAACAGTATCTGGGGCTGAGCGAAAACGTCCGAAAGCCTCAGTGTGCCGTAACCTCTGCGTCTATGACTTTATAATAGCAGTGATTAGCTGCACTGATTGCCTTGTGTCTGTTTTATTCTTTCTCAATGCAGCCAGACAAGACGGCGGTCAAAACAGACCAGCATGCGTGTGTGTACGTGTCATTCATTAAGTGCACCAATCAAATTAAGCCTCTCTCTGTGTGTGCGTGTGTGCGTGTGTGTGTGTGTGTGTGTGTGTGTTTGTGTATGTGTGTGTGTGTGTGTGTGTGTGTGTGTAGCAGTCAAAATAGGCCTGCAGGTCTTTTGTAAGATGCAGACAGAAACCCTTCGCCTCTGATTCAATCCGCTACGTCTATCAGATATGACGGATAGGAGATAAACACGCACACACACACACACACACACACACTTCCAAAATACCTTACAATGTCTTCAACACAAAAGTCTCAGTTATCAAGAATGCCGGTCCGTCTGTGTGTTAGATAGAGCACCAGAGCTCCTGGAGCATCAGTGTATTTATCATAGCGTGATTATCACAACACTTCCTCATCCTGCAGCAGGAAGATCACACCTACAGTACAGTCAGGTTTCTTCAGTTTCAGCCAGAGTAAAACAGTTGACTGATGCATTTTTGTCTTTAGTGGATTTATATTCAGACGGTTTAATAAAACACAACCTTGGGGGCAGGTTGCACAGAGCCAGATTTTGCCTGAGGCTTTGATCTTACAAATAAACTTTAGACAGAGATCTAAGATAGGCTGCACAAAGCTGACTAATTATTGACTCTCTTAAGGAAGTCTAAGTCATTATCTATTCTGGGTAAATCAAGACTCTTTTCATATTAAGATTTGTGTCTTTTGGAACAAGTTACAAAGAAAAAAATTCTTTGCCTTTCAGCTGCCTGACCTTCAGTATAAGCAATCCACAACTTGTGAGCCTTGTCATTTGGCAGCAGGATATGGTTCATGGTAGGGAATATGGAAGTCTATAGAACTTCTTAAAAAACTGCTAGAAGAATAAAAACTGCATGAATATGAACATGTGAGATATGTATAGTTAAATTAGGCTCTCGTCTTTTCCGTTGCTGTGGTCATTTTCCAAAGAAACGAGAAAGACTCCATGTGCAATACACAGTGTACAACTTAAATGTCTATCCTGTCTCTTCAAAGCAGCCTGGCTGTCCAACAATGCATCAAGTCAGTACAAAGGTCCAATGATCAAAAACAGTCAGTTTGTTTTAATTCAGCAGACAATTTCCATTTGCATTGAACTATTCTGAGAGAGTGGCGGTGTAGCGAATGGATACAACCAACTATCAAGTCACTGCTAATGCGAGCTCTTCTTTTGTGTTCATACCAGTAATAACTGAATATGAGCATAAGTTTGGACCTTAATTTCAACTGCATCCTTGCTCTTCTATCTGTAAACATTTGCGTCTTGCAGTAAGTGGGATCGCATTCGCACAGGAGACATTTTCAGTCATTTAGCTCCATAGCTCTGTGTCTCCAGTCTTGATGGATTAGCACGATGGATTAGTTGGAACGCAACCTCTTTGCTGTATCAGCATCTTCAATATTGGAGGATGTGAGAAATATTAAGTCTGGGTTTCATAACAGCGTGCATGAGTCATAAGCGGAGATCAGTAAGAGGTCAGAGCCTTTCATAGTCATAATGTAGTTCAGACTGAAAATATAAGAGATTAACCACGAAAATACACAACCGTGCGCACAATCGCTCAGCTGGTCAGCCGATGGAGTGGTATTTCTCTACGTCTTTATGATGATGCCAGGGAGACATGCACATTAAATATTGTGGCTCTTTTCCTTTCTTTTTTTTTTTTTTTTTTTCTTTTTTTTTTTTTTATGTGCTGCTCCCTGTCTAAACTATAAATTGACAACAATACTAGAGGATGTTTGTCACTGTAAACATAAGGGCTTTGTGTCTGTTTTGTTGTTTTTTTTTGATCTCACTACATGAGTAAGTACTCTGTACACCTCTCCTCTGTGGTTTTTATCATATCATATTGTGACTGCATCTTTTATAACATCAAATAAACTCAACTGGGCTGAAACTAAAAAGAAAGTCTTTACTCTGATGCCGTGAACCACCTACTTTCTGAATCTCACTCTGCTTGTCTTGTTGTTGTTTTTTCTTTTTGCCTGTGAAAATGAATCATGAATCATTTAATGTTACCAGTCATATTACAGATGTCTTGGAGCTGCAGTTTTGCAGTAGTTTCTTGCCTAAACCTCCAACCACACATAAAACTGTGGCTATTTGATTACATTTTGTTATGCTTCACATAAATGATCAAAATGCAGTTATTGCGGAAGTGTACTGAAAGAATAACCAAACTAAAGTTAAAGCACACTAAGTTAAAAGTTTGTAACATATAAGTTCTTGTGTCATATTCGCAACAACTCCATGTTTTTTCTTCTTTGTTTCAGAAAGCTCTCCCAGCCCCTCTAGCACACTAAACGCAGCAGGGGACATGCAGGCGGAGGCAGTCGGACAAGAGCTCCGACGCATCGGAGACGACTTTAATAGACTTCTCCTGTTAAGGGTCAGTCATCACAGATGGTGTGTGTGTGTGTGTGTGTGTGTGTGTGTGTGTCGGTGGGTGGGTGGGTGGGTGTGTGGTGCTGGTGCTGGTGCTGGTGGTGGAGGGAGGGTAGAGTAGAGAGAAACCACCCGCAACCACAACTGTGGAGCTCTTGAGCAAAATGCTGACAGCTGATTGGCTGACAGGAGTCTGTGGTTTGCTAACATGTAAATGACTTTTATCAAATCCAACTTCATTTTGTTATTATTGGGATAAGGTTTTATATATTTTTTAAAAATTGATTAGTCAGTGTTTATCAAACCGCTGCAGTACAGAAATCCAAACAAAGCCCAAATCAAGTCAAGGCAACAGCTGTTTAACTGTGTGGATGCAAAGCAAGATGTTGCTAAAATGAGCAATGTGCTCAGCAGGACATGAGATAAAAGAGAGGGCGCCAGAACTAAAATGTCCCTTAAATCTCGCCGTGGGTGATCTGAGGGAGCCTGTGACCAGCTGGTTATTTCCACTACGCTCGGGGTGAGAAAAACGAAATGACTTTTGATCAGAAAATAACTAAGAAGACGGCCTGAAGCTGCTGAAAATGAAGATGCCACAGCAACCACTGCAGTTAAAAAACCTCAAAACAAAAAACAAGAAAACAGCCATATGATACAAAAATGAAAAAAAAAAAAAAAAAAACAGACAGTGGAGGAGCAGAGGATGGATCTGTTGAACACAGAGGGGGAAAAAAGCGGATCCATTCTCCTCAACAAAAGCCCTCAGCCAGTTTCCAGCAGTGGGATAGAAACAAAAACAAAACTTAGTGGTACAAATTGAGTGTTTTAAATGTGGTGAGGCCCAGAGAAGCTCAGAGACTGCTCACATTATAAAAGTGGAGCTTATTTGCTCAGCTTCAGTAGCAGCAGTGTCACTGATTACTTCCTGGTTCCTGATGTAAATCCGTGGAGGTGTTTGTGAATGCTGGCTCTTTATTGCTAGATGAGAGTTATTTGCTTTTATTGTGTTGAATTAATTAGACAGGAAATGCAAATCAATTCCACTTTCACTACTTGTAGCGATGAAAAGATGGAGACACAGTAAAGACAGTTTTTTTACTTTAAGGTGGAGTAGAGAGGTTTGTCCACTAGTAGTGCTGTGGAGCAGTGTTTTTACAACCAGGTCCTCCCTGTTTCTGTATGTAATATGATACACGTTCCTGCTGCTGGTTTCACTTTGGTCCGCTTACTGTTGGTGAAGAAGCGAGGTCATGTGCAAGAAGCTACCAGAAAGATGACTTAAAGCGAGCAAATTAGGTTTGCATTTGTTAGATATCAAAGCTACACGCCACAGCATTGAAACAGTGGTTTGAATATTCTTCAGCTTGTGTGCGCTTAAAAAAAAAAATCAAATTTAAGAGAGTACGTGAATTGAGTGTTTTGAGTTATTCAGCTGTGATTATGACATGAAATGACAGTTACAGTAGTCTGACTGCAGCGTTACTGAGGAGATAATCCCATTATCCCAGGGAATAAAAATCCTCTGAATGCTGCAGTTTACGCATCAGTCAGTCAGTCTTGGTGTGTTGTAAAGTTGTGTAGCTGCAATAAGATTTCATTTCCTCTTGGCTTCTGTTTCCTTGGCAACATTTCTGCATGTTGCATCATCACAGTTTTATTTACTCCTCTATCAAAGAGCTGACGGGAGCTTTGGGAAGCCAGAGGGGAAGAGCAACACAAAAAAAAATCAGTGCTGGAGTGAGTTCACTTAAATCTCATCAGAGAAATGGATTAATAAATAAAAGTCAAGAAAAGGCATGACAAGACTGCTGTATCCCAGTGAAGGGCTTAAAAAGCTCCCTCAGTGTCAAAGCTTAATAGCTATAGAGCTACAACTCTCCAACGAAGTCTGAAATGTGCTTCTGTGATTGTGTTGAACCTTCTAGCTGCTAATGAGCATGAAACAAGAAGACAGTTAACCCTTTCTGCCCTCTTTGCATCTGCACTGATCAGTCACTGCATTTATCTGCCTTCTGCATGATCAAATATACTGTCAACACCCTCCTTGAACATTTCACCAACTTAGGCACAGACAGTGGTTTAGTGAAGCCTGGTGAAGTGGGTATACTCTTAATTTATTACCCTTTTTCTTTTAAAGCAACCCATCCAGCAATAGATAAATGCCCTGTTTTATAAACAACGACATTTAAGACTGAGCAAAAATGGGCCAGTAGCCGAGTATTTTCACATTGTCACTTGACTTCTGCTGCTTCGACTTCAGGGAAAAGACTCATGAAATTAACATTTGCCACAGAAGAGAAGCTGATCAATACTTGCCCAAAGTATTTGGTGAGACAGCTGCACAATTATGCATTTTGAATGAACTGTTCCTTAATCCATCCACACATGAACACTGGAAGCAACGATTGCCCTGGTAACAGATGACTGAGTGTAGCCTACTTTTAAGCCCAGTGTATTTCAGGAAATGGCTCTCCCCAACTCAGTCATAATCTGTTAAACTAATTATTACCTCAAAGTCGATTTAACCTCGTACTATCTGCAGTGAGTTATAAACCAATTTTTTTTTTTTTTTCCCAGGATGACAAAACGAAGGCATAACCTCCCTACTCTGCCACTGATTGGCTTCCCCTGATATTTCTACCGTAACCAATCATCACTGTTCATGCCCAAACCTAACCGAGGCACCTAACGAAGGCAACAAGTACTAGCCAATCAGAGGCAGAGTAGGGCAGGTCATACTGAACAGAATGATTCATTACTGAATGATGCACACCAGGGGGGATTTAGAAGTGGGTATACACAATGTTGTATACACCGTACACCTGCGTATACCCTGCGCTACACCACTTGGCTGACAGCAGTATCACTCAGCCCACATGAGGAAGAATAGAATTCATTCCTTGTATATGGAAAATCCCACGCGCTGGGTTACAAAACCCGCCAAGAGTCATGCAAGGCAAAGCTGGTCTGGCCCCTGAGCTGCAGAGGAGAGCAGAGGGAGGCTGTAGAAATATGTGAGATCGTGATGAGTCGAGTCTGTGACTCAACGCCTTGTCACACTGACTGAAGACAGAAAGAGAAAGAGAAGTGTGTGTGTGTGTGTGTGTGTGTGTGTGTATGTTTGTGTGTGTCTTAACCTGGGTTAACCTGGGTACAGAACAATCCAGAAAGCCTGTGCACGTGTGCCTGTTCATGCTGCAGAACAATGAAGAGGCAGAGAAAAGAGGAACAGCAAGGCTTGTTCCCTGTTCTCTAGCCAGGTGTTGGTGTTGCTGAGGACAAGTGCTCATGCATGGTCACATATGATTTCATAACTGCAGTAACATGAGATGTTTTTCAGGTTTTTCAGATTTTAATCACACACTTAGTCATTAGTATAAGACGATAGAAGATTGTTTGTCAGTGAGACAAAGCAAGAACATTCAGTTCAGTTTTTTGTGCTAAGATTGAACAATCATCATTAATCCCCTTCTAACCGTGACTGCACAAAATAAACACATGGCTATAGAAAATGGGGGCAAAAGGCTTGGACACCACCTCAGAGGTCTGTGTTCATTTCCCAGCAGTGGTTGAACACAGCTGTGTTAACTGGTGGGAAGCCAGTGAGGGATTATGTCCTGGGAGGATAGCGTAAATCTCCACACAGTTCACTCCGTTGCTATCAAGTAAAAAGAAACATCTAGCGCACAGGGGTTGACGTGATCATGTCCCCTGCTTGGCAAGCATCGAGCCGACTCCCTGCCCTTCACCATGCAAGGGGGAGCGTGTCTACAGCCCTACGTTCCCACAGCCCTATATTCCCCTTTTATACCCTTTCAGAACGCTTTGCATCCACGTTCCACGGCGTCTTCACATTTATCCACCTCAGCGATCGTTTTTGTAAAGCATCGTTTTCAGTTTCGGAATTCACCATTGTAATGTGAACGGAAGGGATAACAGGATAAATATTACCTGGGTTAGGGTGGGCATGGGCTTATGGGAACATATAAGACTGTGGGAAAATAGGGCCTAATTTTCAAAACATTCTTAGAAATCTGGGAACATAGGGCTGACCCCATGCAAGGTCCCCTTCCCAGGTCACCTAAGGCTCAGTTTGCTTTGCGTGATCCCTATCAGAATCCTGGATCAAACCCAGACACACTGGAGGAATTATACAGTATCTCCCAAATTGAATCTGAGTGTTGAAAGACCGGAGAGGAACTTAAGAGCAAAAGGAAATTTTAAGAAGTTCTCAACAATGTCATGAACAACGCACTGTCGTCAAACAGGCTCGGCAGGGTAGGTTAATCATCATGAATCATATCTGGCCCTGAGGTGAATTTGGGGTGACTCAGGCAACTAGTGTGGTTGCCCCCGAACACCTCCGTCTGGACCCTAGAGCAGTGATTCCCACACTTTCTAACCTCAAAATGGAAGAAATATCTGCGTGCAGCGACTTTCACAGCTCGCATGTGTCATACCAGATGTGAGCAGTTTAAGTAAGGAGTTATTTATCGTTCTGCACTTTATTTTAAACACATTTAGAGGTAATTCACAGGAAAAAAAATGGCAATTTTTTTTTTTTTTTTACATGCATTGCCTTGAAATTTTGTGCAGACATTTGTGGTCCACAGAGGATGAATCCTACAGATTTTGGTGATCCCTTGAGTGTGAAGGTTGACATTTTTGCTTTTTGCTGAAATGTCTTGACAACTATTGGAAGGATTGCCATGAAATTACGTCAACACATTCATGGCGAATTTATCATCAGGCGTATGTAGATACGGTTTGCCGCTGTTTGTTGACAAAAGACAAAAGAAGCTTTATTCAGTGTCACTGTCTGAAGGCGTCAGCCAAGAGGCAGAGCCGTATCACTCCAGGCTGTAAAATGACTCACATCATCTCAGATACATTCACGCACAAACACACAGGTGTTTCCTCTCGGTTCAGCTCATTCACTGCCTGAGAAATTAGCAAAGCGCTTTCTAAAAATACTTTTACATAGAAACGCCATTGAAGTGAGCA